AACAGTGATTTGCTGCCCCCTACTAGCGGTTTTAATTTCACATTTAAGGTGCCTTTTCATTTTTAAAGGGGTCATATGATGCGATTTCAATTTTTCCTTTCTCTTTGGAGTGTTACAAGCTCTTGGTGCATCAAGAAGATCTGTAAAATTAGACTAAGTCTCAAAGACTAAAGTCTCAAATCCAAAGAGATATTCTTTATAAAAGTTAAGTCAGCCACACCTACCTAAAACGGCTCGTTCTAACACGCCCCCACATGTCTACGTCACGATGTGGGAAGATTTGCATAATGCCGCCCAAATGTTCACACAAAGAAAGAAGGCGTAACACCAGTAGCCTGTGGCACAAAGGCTGTTTCTATAAAGTTGGGCAGTTCCAACTTTGCAAGGACAGTCTGGCCAGTCTGGCTCAATAATGTTCTTTTTAGCAACGTCATATGACCCCTTTAAAAAAAGGTGCCAGGAAGAACCAAAAAGGGGGTTTCGCTGCGATGCTATAGATTAACCTTTTTTGGCAGGTTAATGTCAGTACCCCCATCATACACTTTCATTACTTTCTTCATTTTAATAGGTTTAGCACAGTTATAATGAGGCAAAATGACAAACAACCATAATGTAAAGGTATTTTTAAGCTGAACAGCAGTCAGAATAGAAACAAAATCAAAGCAAGTCAAAGTATTTTGGAAGTTCATCCATCCATCTATTCACTCTCCAGACCACTTATCGTGGGGGCTGAAGCCTATCCCAGGATCTTGGGCCACAAATCCATCGATTTAATGGTATTTAAGCAATATAGTCAATGTTTTATGTTTAAAATGTCAAAACATTATTTATGCATTTGTAATTGCAGGTTAGACTATTCCATGTCCCTCAGAGCTGCATTAAACATTGTGTAAATGCATCTAAATGCCACTTCTAATGCAGCCTCTGTTTCCTCTGCATTGCAGAGATAAATTTTGTTGATACTGATTTAATTTGCTTGGTAACAGCCCAAATTCAAGAATTTGACTCAAAAGATGGTGCACACTTTTAGAAAAAAAATGGCTTAAAGATAATAATGCCCATAAAACTGGTTGGAAATGATTAATTTCTGTCACTTGCTGTGAACTGACCACACAGAATATGAAGAATATCAAAAAATTCAGGATTCAGCTGTCAGCACAATTAGAGAAAAGATATAAGCACAATAACACACTCTATAGCAAAATATTGTCTAATTATCGTTATCGAGAAAATCCCAGAAAATTAACGAGATATAATTTTTTTGTTAATATCACACACTCCTAATTTATGTTATTTAATTGATATAATAATTTATTGATAATAATTGTTTAAATTAATATAATAATTAATACTTTTGACTCATCCATTTTCTTAAAAATGGTTTAAAGGCTGAAATATAAAGTTTATAATTTTATACAACTTTTTGTTTTTGTGAAAACTTGTATCTGAACTGTAAATTATGCTTTTTACAGTAATTTTATGGTTTAATATGGTACTATAGACATTGCCCTACCCCGCTCATATGGTATTAATTTTATTTTTTAAAAAGGTCTTAAATTTGAGCTTAAAAATCCTGCAGAAACCCTGTATAATATAACAATGCAAATGCCATTACACCCTATTCCCTATATAACCATGTATGTGACAAATAAAAATCTTGAAAAAAAAATCTTGAATCTTTGTCCCTAATACTGACCATCCAGGATTTCCTTCACAATCACATCTAACTCATCCATTTAATTTTTATTAGTGCTGTCAAATGATTAATCGTGATTAATCGCCTCCAAAATAAGTTTTTGTTTACATAGTATGTGTGTGTAAGAAAAATATGCTACGTTTATATATTTAATATATTTATATGTAATATAAATTATATGAATATAAATATATACTTGTAAATATTTTCAAAACATATGCTGTATGTGTGCCTTTATATATACATAATAAATATACACGGTACACACATTTATTATGTAAACAAAAATGTTTATTTTGGATGCGATTAATCGTTTGACAACACTCATTTTTATTTTCATTTTAGTTTTGTAAATAAAATCTTTTATTTTTTTAAATCATATTTTATTGTTTTTAATATTAATTTTTAAAATGTTTTACCTTCCAAATGGCAACATCAGTTTAGCCATGTATACCCTAATTAAGATGTTTAGGCATAAGACCAGTCTATCAAGTGTTTTGATAAATCTACTTAAGAGTATCAGACTTAAGCCCCGTTCACACCAAGGACGATAACTATAAAGATAAGATAAAGATATAGTTCTTAAAATCGTTCTCAATATTATAGAATAGCAGAGTCCCCACACCACACCTATAACGATAAAGGCACAGAGAAACAATATCATTGGAATCACTTTCAGAACGTTTTTTCCAGCTGATGAACGATAAAAATATTGATAGCCAATCAGAATTAATCCTGCTGTCACGAGGTTGAGAATTTAAAGCGGCAGACGAGTGTGCGCTTCAAATAAACAGAAGGTATCGTTTGCTGGTGTGGAGGCTAATATCCTTATCTTTATCCTCCTGAGACCCTGTGACCTCATATGAGGACATTATATTTTGGTGTATTTCTCTGAGACTATACATGCCACAGTTTTAAGTCTGGAAGTTCTGTACAGAGGACATTCAGGGCTTTTCAGAGATACTAAATGCTTGGATGTTTCACTATGACCACTCCCTCTCCTTGGTCTTCAAATATGTCTGATATTAATTTAGTGACACTCTTATGGAAATATGATAATATTTTGTAATTATCATTTAAATCTGTCTCATTTTTAAACTGTCTGTCATAAATCAACATCTCAGGAAAATGTTAATGGGGTTTCAAATCAAAATATGACTTTCTGTTACGAAACAGGATGTTGATTTCATATATGTCCTCATATGAGGACACTGGGACTAAAAGCATGTTTATTAGCGTTTTGGGAGACATAACAAATGAATAGTGAAAGAAATTATGTTTCAATATTCTATGAAATATTATATATTATTATGAAAATCTTGTCAAATATTACTCCCATTATTACACTTCTTTTTTCATTACATGTTGCCCCAAAAACACATTAATATGCAAATTAGATTTAGTTTATAGATGCATTGTATATAATAAGAAAACCCGTTTATGGCCATTTTACACACATTTTGCAGAAAGAAAAATGGTATATCAAATATTCTGTTATAACATAGTTGAGAATCATCTTTATACAAAGTTTGGTAAAAAAAACAAATCCTGAAAACTAAAAATGTATTGGTGATTTAAAAAAATCTATTGTTTTTGCCTATGCATGTTCATTCATGTCTTTTTATTTGTTTCAAAAATTGAGTCCCGATGTCCTCTACCGAGGACATAGCATAACTTATGAATGAAATATCATTTTTTACATTTTTTTTTTTTTACTTTTTTTATGCTCTAAACTATATAAAGACATGAAAAAAACTATTTTTTTCCTAAAAATCTTTTCTCGGGTCTTAAGAGGTTAAATTTATCGTTCTTGGTGTGAATGGGCCTTTACATTAATCATCTATACAGTTTTCATCTGCTGGCCATTAACTGGCCTGGCTGACATATTGATCTGTCACTATGATTAGTGTTTTTAACTTGAGTTTCATTTTCCTCCTTACAGAGTGGTGCTTTAGTCAACAGCTACAGAGGCACTGGGGGGATTTTTGAAGTATGCTGGAACTCCACTGGAGACAAAGTGGGCGCAAGTGCATCAGATGGATCGGTGAGTTTCTGTGTTGCAAAGCAAAGTCACTTAAATGTCCTTTGGCTATGATGTAGATACAGCATGAACTGAATCTGTTTGAAAGCCATTATAGTTTTAAGTAGGGCTGCACGATTAATTAAAATAAAACCAAAATCATGATTCAGAGCCTTCTTACATGCGAGTGGTTCATTATTCACCGGTGTTGCCAGTCTAGCTTAGTTCACAGTAAATGCTGCTCCACCCAAACTACATCTCTGCATTTTTTTTTTTATCCTGAGTTTGGTCACTTTTACAAGCATTTGAGAACACAACATGTGCCAGCCATCCTTCCATACTTGTAATGAGAAGCATAAAAGTAGGGCCCTATGAAATCTGTTTTATTTTTTCCCAAATTCCGTTTTTTCCGTTTTAATTTTTCTGGATTCCATTTTTTTCCATTTTAATTTTTCTGGACTCCTTTTTAATGGTTAAATAAAATTTTATTAATCCTATTTTTAATCCTATTATATTATAATTGTAATATTTAAATACTCAATTGTTATTTGACAGCAAAACATTACAATAGTGATTTATTTTTTCTTTCTTTTTTTCTTCTTTTTTTTAGCAATACTACTCCTGCTAATAATAATAATAATAATTTATTTTATAGCCATAAATACATAATCTGTGGAAGATATTTCCACCACTGTATAGACTTTTTTCCTGAGTAAACGATGAACGCCACCATAACGAATTCTAACTTCCAATTGGATGCTCTTCAGTTTCAGTCTCCATAGGAACCCATTCAAATAGTTCCCATCTTTTGGGAAGTCGTGGCCTAATGGTTAGAGAGTCGGACTCGTAGCCCAAAGGTTGCGGGTTCGAGTCTCGTACCGGCAGGGATTGTAGGTGGGGGGAGTGAATGTACAGCGCTCTCTCCCTCCTTCAATACCATGACTGAGGTGCCTTTGAGCAAGGCACCGAACCCCCAACTGCTCCCCGGGCGCCGCAGCAAAAATGGCTGCCCACTGTCCGGGTGTGTGTTCACTGCTGTGTGTGTGCACTTTGGATGGGTTAAATGTAGAGCACTAATTCCAAGTATGGGTCACCATACTTGGCCACATGTCACATCACTTTCACTTTAATGTAGCTAACTTCGGCAGCAGCTTCGACACGATTACACACTCATTAAACTTTGAGGAGTGAGGCACTGACAAATGATGGTCATTGCGACACTGTAAAGTGATGGCGCTATGGAGCCATGTGCTTTTTTAAAAACATTTTAATAGGTTTAACATTAGATTATCAGATCGGAATATACACTAATTTGACTAGAAACACTGGAGACCGGAAATGCAAAGCATCCTTCTGAACTGGTTAAGAGTCAGGCGTGACTTCCGTGTTCAGGAAAAATGTCTATTAAAATAGACATTAAAATAGTACTTTTCTCCACATTTTTTCTGAACTGCAAAGACTCACAATTGCACGAAAAAAAGTCATAATTGTGAGAGAAAAACTCAGTTATTTTGTGCCATAAAACAAAAAAGATTTGTGAGGAAAGTTACAATTCTGAGATGTAAAATCGCAATAACGAGTTTTATTACCTTTTTTTAATCCCATGGTGGAAACAAGTTTCCATAATAATCACAAATTTGGCCAAAAAGTGCCCCTAAAGGCTCATTTATACTTCTGCGTCAGTTTTCGTTTATACTTCTGCGTCGTTGTCCGCGTCGATGTGCAGTACACATGCAAACCGCTAGTCAGCAGTGTCCACGGGCATGTTGCTGGTGTAACCTGCAGTACCACGGTAAAAGCCAAAGAAGAAGCGGCTCGTCGGAGAAGCATTATAGCCGTGACGGCGGCAAATAAATATCAAATCGTTATTTAAAACTACAAAAAGGAGACAACAACAGAACAGGAGAAGATGGCATACTTTCAATCTCCACAAGGACTTGTACCACGGCATTGTTTGTCGCGGACAACTACTGATGAATAATGCTATGTAGTATAATAAATGATAAGACACTTGTGCTTTGCTTTGTTTTATTTTATATAAGGTGGTGTAACATTAAAATATATTAAAGTGCACATAAACACACACAAAACTCAAGTACATACGGAGGGAGGGGTTCTAGCAGACCAATCACAGCGCTTGCGGTCCGCGTAGAATTGAGGCGCTGTTAGATTTTTGGAGAGGTGCACGTCAGGCTACGGCGTAGGGCGTGCGTCTATGCGTAGGCTACGACGTAGGTTCGACGCAGAAGTATAAATTGGGCTTAACTCGTAATAACTTTTCTTCCCTTTCTCAGGTTTGTGTATTAGACCTAAGGAAATGACGCTGCCGCTGGGAAGCCATGGACCGACTATGAATGTGTGCATAGCCAAATTTACCGACTGTCCCTGGCCCATCATCCACTGCTGTAGCGCCAGACCAACGGTCCCTCAAATCCATCACAACACGGACCCGTGACGCTTACCACACACACAAAATCAGCGTGCCAGAGAACTGTAATACACAGACACACTGGACACAAGAGAAATGCACCGCATATGCACATACACCTCATTAGTTCCTGTGTTCATCATTCCAAACCCAGAGGGCCGAGGTCCACGCCGCTGTCGTGCGCATATTGCACACGTCTGCGCTTCAGTGACGGTTTAGGTGTAACCGCATGAGCTAAAGAGCAGAGCGGTTGAATATGGCCAACTCGTGGCCACGTGATATTGACAATTCAGAGTATTGGCACTGTATGTTTAGTGGCTCTGCGACTTTTGGAACTGTTCTCGAAAAATGCTCAAGGAATTTTTTTTTTTTTTTTTTCCAACCTTTTTTTTTTTTTTTTTAAAAAGTTTATTTTTCTATAGTCTTATAGCACCGATTTCAAAAAAAAACAAATGCGTTTCTACTGCATGGATAGCCAATTTTGATTAAAACCCCATCTATTAAACTTAAACAGTTTAACATCAATTCATTAAAAGTTTAACAAAAATTACATGTTTAGGGCCCAAAATAGTTTTTTTTTTCCAACCTTTTTTTTTTTTTTTTATACAAAGTTATAAGAGTACAGAAATCCTATTAAATTACTCAACTGTATTTTCTAAAACGAATGCCCTGTGTTATTTTATACAACCTATGCAACTTTGTGGCAAGACAAAACCGAACTTGCAGTGCATGAATGGGTGAAACTCATAGGTGAAGCCTGTACGTTTAAAATATCCGTTAGGCCCACTCTAAAAAAACGCAACGGCACATTCACTCTCGCTGTTACAGAAAACATAGCTATCAGGTTATTCATTCCTTTTTTTGGGAGTTCGTGATTGTCCTCCTACATTAGTATTTAACATGACAGCTCACATAAAATGTTCATTACCGAGATTTGTTCCTCCGATTTGATGTTCTTTCTTTAGTGTTGCGGCGTGCTGTCATTTCCTGCTTTGCTATAGAGGTCCGAGCTCTGACTGATCCGGTCTGGTCATTACTCTTTCAGTGCTGCAGTGAATTGGTATGTGTGTGTGACTAACAGCTGTAGTCTGAGTGACAAAATTATGGGTCGGTGCAATTTTTTTTTTTATTCAGTTCCAGTCAGGCAGTGGTAGAGTAATAGTTCAAAGTTCAGGCTGAGGTGGTGCCGTTTTCGCCCATTTTGCTCACTATTTTCTTTTGTAAAACGATGCGCAGTGATGGTATGGGTGTGAACAGAAACTGACGTGGAAAAACGTAAACGTGACCACAGGTGTTTTTACTATTACATGCTACTGTTGTAAAGGATGGATTTTAACGTAAACTCCATTGATGTTTGGGATTTCTCACAGCCTGGTTTCTTCAGGTGATGGCACATTGATTTAGAGTTCGCTAGATGCTGTCACATGTCTTTATAAAATACCATTAGACAGTCATAGTCCAGAGAAGCAGCTTTTATCCAGCACACTCATGTCGCCTCTCAGCACTTTACAGCACGTACTCCCATGAAATCCAATGAGCACTTAAAAGATTTTTTATCCTTTGGACTGAAATTACTTGAGTGACATTAAACATTTACTTGAATGAACCAGATGTTCTGATGATTATTAGAGGGTGAGGCAGCTGGTTTAGACCTATGTAACAGTGTTTTTTTTTTAATTTTTTTATAGAAGTGTAGTCCAAAATGCTAACAAATGCCTTTTTCTTCCCACGGATAAAGTAAAATCTGCATCCCCTCCTAAAAGCATCAAAATGTCCTGATTTTTCTTTCCCCCCTTTTTTAAAGATGAGTATTTTGAAGCTTGCTCTAATATAGTCAACAAGTAGATTGTACAAAAAGACGTTATTTATTATATTGTCTATGACAGTGGAATGGTATTTTATAATGTTTTAATTTGAAAGAGATATACTTGTTACAGTGTGCTCAGTGTCCTCAAAGCCTAGCACTCTGCTTGCTGTGTCCACGGCCCTTTGAAATTTTGTACTTTAAAATCTTTTGTAATTCTAATGTTGTTTTTAGCTCGAAGCAAAAGCACGTACATGGGCATATCAAAACATCTTGGACCATGTAAATACTTGTTCAGTGATTTTTGTCTCACTTTAGGTTATCTTTAATCTAGTTTTTTTCTCTCTCTCTTTATTTTTTTAGTTCTTTTTCCTGTTTCGCTCGCTCTCTAGCAGAAATCACTCACTGCGATGTTGATTTGACTGTTGTGGTTTGAGTCAGATCAAATGAAAAGTCCAGAATAAAATATATTTTGATAAGTGTTCTCTGTCTGTGCTTATGAATGTCTATGAATGCAGAAACTACTGTGTATGTTGTTTAATGTCTGATTGCTAGAATGTAGTATTTGGTTTGGTTTTAATAACAGCAGCACTCAAGCCGAATGAACATGACGATCATGTTTTCCAGCTAGAGAACGATTCAGTCGAAAACAAGAACATCTGACTGGCTGTATAAAGGAAGTCACATGATCAGTCACACATCTGCTTATTTGATTAGTGATGTAGAAATAGTGCACAATCATCATTTTGTCATAATTTTGTTTTTCACCTTCAAAATCCTAAAAAAAAAAAAACCCCCACCAAAAATCATAATGTGCCTGTACGTTATAAATGTTATACAGAGTAATATATTCTAAAATATAATAAGCCTAAACTGATACAATGATCTTTCTTATGAAGGTAGACTGCTTGACCACACTAAACAACACAAGCTAAGACAAAGGCAGCCTCCAACAAAAAGGCATTTCATTGCAAAAAAAAAAAGTATTCAATGCATTTAATTGAATTAAATAAATAAATGTAGAAATACATAAATGAAGAAATAAATATAGAAATACATAATTAAATGCTGAAATAAATCAATAAATAAATGCAGAAATACATAAATGAATAGATAAAACAATAAATAAATACATGCAGATATGCATAAATGAATGAATACAGAAATAAATAATTTTGTACAGAAATAAATGTAGGAATGCATAAATGTAAAAATAAAAGCAGAAATGCATACATTAATGTAGAAATACATTTAAAGAATGTAGTATAACAAATGGTACAAAAATAGCGCAATTAAAAATGACACTTGACAATTATTTATGTATTCATTCATTTATGCATATCTGCATTTATTTGTTTATTTAAGCATTTAATTATTTATTTATTCATTTATTCATGTATGTATTTCTGCATTTATTTATTGATTTATTTCAGCATTTAAGTAATTTATTTACTTATGTATTTCTACATTTATTTATTTATTTCTATATTTATTTCTTCATTTATTTATTTATGTATTCCTACATTTATTTATTTAATTCTGCATTTACGTATTTATTCATTTATTTATTTATACTTAAGTCATTTCTCGTCCTCCATAGTATACAGGGTGCGATTTGTGAAAAAAGCAGAGGGGGGGTGATTTTGAAAGGCTTTAAAGTAACCTAATGTTAGTGTAATCTGTTAACAAAGACTATTTAGACTTTTTAAATTTACTACAGTCTTGGAGTAGCTGGGTCAGGAATGGAAATATTTTTGTATTTAGTTGGGTTTTTGGTTATTGCAAAAAAACAAAAACAATGTTTGCTGGGTAATAAAGAGCTAGATCGCCCAAAAATGAAAATTCTGTCATCTTTTCATCGGTTTCTGGTCCTCACAGATGTCCATAGTATTTTTTTATCCATACTATAAAAGTAAGTGGCTATCAGCAACTGACTGGTTACAGCCCGTTCATACCCCACAAAACCCAGGCAATGCATATATATATATATATATATATATATATATAAAGTACCAGGTACTGTACCCAGTGGAAAACCCCCCAAAAGTAGATAATGTGTGTCATGTCACGAAATGTTTTTAATACGACTGAAACTGTAGGCTATTTAACGTGGTCACAATTGAATAAAACATTATGCATTAAACATTAATTATTTAATTTCAACGGTTATCCAAACAACGAATAGATTATATAGGAAAGTGAGCAAAGAACATTTACAGGATCAACGGAGCTTTTTGAAACTCCGAATCAGTTAAACCATAGCGTCGCAAAATGAGTCACTGTTTCGAAGCGCTCCAATCGGATCGCGTATCGGGACTTCAAAGCTTCAACGCGCGAATCATTTGATTCAGATTGAGACTTCGATGCTGTGCGGGGGATGTTTTTTATCCCCACCGGAGATAAAAATAATTCAGCAGAGGCAGGGATGCGTAGACCAGACCCCACCCCGGCAAATCGCACCCTGTATATATATATATATATATATATATATTTATGTAATAAAACGACCAAGACAGCATTTCAGATCAATCGTGTAGTGGTCATTTTCACCAACAGAGGGGGCTGCAGGCTACACTGATTACATAGTCGTGTGTCGTTAATTCAGCAAAGAACAGCAGGAGGGGAGATGAGCACTATTATCATCATTTATCAAGAGACTCCGTTATCCGTTTCAAGGTAGTCACATACTCACTCTTCATGTTAAATCAAAGTAATACTGTTTGTATATGCTATATAGACAGCAGGGGCTAGGACTTCACTCTGCAATCTCCAGATATGCTAAAACGATTTTAAGTTCTCTTATATTTGTTTGATGACGTAACACACACAACTAGGCACTCTTCTTTAAACTTGATATACTATAACTATATAACCATATTCGTTCTTCTACACTGAGTTTAAAAGATTAGGGCGTAATCCCTTTTTCCCATCACTACCACCACAAACCACTGCACCCAGTTGTTTGGCGAATAGTGAATACTACGTTTTCAAATTTAGCAGGGCCAGAGGTGGGGACAAGCTTGTTTACACTAGGATAACAGGGTCTGAACACAGTGGTTTTCCACAAACATCCACCCGCCCAGGCCTACCTTAACTATCCAACTTATTTTTAAAGTAAGCACGAGAGCGGTCACTTAGCAC